CAATCTGGGGCACGCGTCAACGACACAATTAATTTCCATCTTTTCTTGTGGCTTGGATGGATTTCTCTTGCTGCGAGTTCAGCAAGTTGTCCGATGAATGACTTGTTTGTCTTTGCAAATCCCACCAGGCCTGATGTATTGAGAATTCAAAGAAGCTATATATCTCGAGTTTACAAATCAATCCAGACTGAATTTTCTATGTTGACGCGGTTTGTATAGTAAAATTGACAAGACAAAGTTTTGAAGGTGTCCTACTTAAACAAGCAGGAGATACGTCAGGAGAGGAAGAAAAGAAAACGCTTGAGTTGTAGAAGATTTCCACACGAAGACGTATGTAAAACCAGAAGAAGTGTCAAGGTTCATGCTGACATTGCATCCTGCTGTTCCAAATCCAATCTCCTGCTTTTCCAGATCAAACTCCACTGCCACATCCAGCTGCTGGTAGGTTCCTATAACATTCAGTGAGAACCCCATCTTCTGTGAGTCTCCAACAGCCAAGCACACGGTAGCATTTTCAGCATCATCATCTAGCAGAAACCATGTCCGAAATTCAACCTGTGTGCCATTCTCAAAGTGATAAGTCAGAGTTTGTGGTGGTGGTGTGTCAGCATTTACAGAAACATTGTAGCAAATATCATTGCCGAGCAGTGCTGCAGTTTCGTTGCTCGATACTTTAGTAAGGTTGGAGTTGAGGTTTTGTATGGCTTGCACAAGGGGGGTGTAGGAATCTGGTGTGAAATAGCTGAATGCAAACGTTGAATCAATGATCGTTCCTCCAGTTCCATTTGCAAGAATGCCTTGCACCGGAAAAGTCAACGTATCGGTGATACTTATGGATCTCAAGCCGATGTAATACAACGCAGTGGAATTTACGATCATTGGAGTGTAAGAAAGAGAGGAGTTCGATGATATCTTATAATTGCCGAGCACGATTTTGCCACTAAACGTATCAGATGGAACACAATAGATAAACTTGCTTGTATAGTCCATTTCAGCAAGTTGTCCAATGAATGACTTGTTTGTCTTTGCAAATCCCACCAGGCCTGATGTATTGAGAATTCCCAGCAATCCCGTGCTTTCTCGACCACATCCAAGTGACATTCTGAGGCTCTTATTGCCTCTAGTTTTGCGTGGAGTTTTCATGGCTACAACATCACTAGCCATCTCACCAGCTGAGGAGTAATCGGTGCTGTAAGAAAAATTATATAAGCAAGTCGTGGAACCCACTGCTGAAGATCCGCAAGCGTTTGTGGAGAAACCAGGGGATGTCGAGCAGGAAGGAGAGGTGCAAGGAATTCTAGTGTAAGATGTGGATGATGCCTATGAAAAGAGGGGATCGTTTGTGGAAACATTGCAATCGACGCAAGGAGAGCACGCAGCCCAGAAGAATTCCGAGTTCGTCTCTAGGCCTTTGTCTCCTCCTCTCAAACTAAACTCGGTGAAGTTGGCTAGAGTTCGTCTTTCCTTCCATACAGTCTTGACTCCCTTTCCTAGGGCAGCTGGCAAGACCTTGCGCGCAATAGGAGCAAACCCTGAGATAGCAGCAGCCTCGACGTGAGGACGACGAAATTCCCACAAGAGCCAGTAGGAAACAAAGCACAGAGCGACGCCTCTCCATGGAGGATTGAGAAACTCTTGGAGGATTGAGGCAAGATTGGGAAAAACTAGATTGAGAAACTCTTGAGGCAAGATTGAGGCAACGATAACTGATATATATTTGATGACATATCTGACTCTTTCAATCAATATACCTTTTTGTAAGAGATAAGACCTCGACACTTTTAAATTCTCGGTTTACCTTCTACCAATATAAAACCGGGCATAGCATGGCAAAACCTATGGCGAGGGCAAAGAATGCAGCCACTGCACCGAAGGTAGCCAAGTCACAGAGACACAAAAAAAATGGCTGGATTGAGCCAAAGGTTACAGTATCTAGTGAAAAGGCCTTGTCCTCATCTCTGGTTAACGAGGACAATGAGATTGTTGGCAAGAAAAAGACTGACGATTTCGTGCTAGTCTCGAATCCATGGTCGGTTCTTAGAACGAACATCGATATGGATAGCAAGAAACAAGCGAATGGCTCATGAAGTGATCATAAAAAAGGACAAGAAAAACTCAGCAGCGCCACCATCTAAGAATGGCGAGCTGGATCATGACAATTTGAAGAGAAAGAAGAAGCGCTCAAGAAATCATCAAGTGCTGCCCTGGAGAACACAGGAAAATCGAATTGGAAGTGGTCGAGAAAACGCCCTTGAAAGAAGAAAGAGTGGTCGATCAGAGCTCGGGACTCTTGATCGTAGTGACTCTTTTAGTTATTGCTATCTTGTTCTTCATACAATGGTTTTCCTTTTGAATAGAAAAGGTTAAGTGCATCAAACGGCCACGATTGCTTTAGGGCTCTTCGTTGCACGCTCACCCCTATCACGATGCAGCTGGCTGTGGCACTGCGGCTAATCTTTGCGGGAATGATCTGGTGCCTGGCATACGCCGTCGTCGCTGCGATCGCTGCCGCTACCGTCTTCCACTAAACCCATGGGTAAACGAATTCTAGGGTCGATTCGATCGGGTCTAGGGAAATTTCAATCAAGGAGCGTATTGCGATCGCCATTGCGGCCGGATTCTCCTCTCGCGCATCCAAATCGAGCGAAATTCCGGGCTTGACACTTCGCATCTAGCTAGAGCCAAGGCAATCGTACGGTGGAAGGCCTACGATGGACGGCATCCAGGCCTCCAAGCAAAAGAACCTATGGATGAAACCCAGGTGGCGGAAGAAGATTCTCTCTTGGAGATTCCCGGGCTCTCACAGTTTCTACAAAGGTGGTGGTGGTGGTGGTGGTGGTGGTGGTGGTGGTGATGCCGGGACCGAGAAGAAGATTCTCTCATGGAGATTCCCAGTCTGAGCGAGGGGCTATTACTCGATTTCTAGGTGGTGGACTCCCTTTGCTCGTGTGTGTGGATTGATTGACGGATGATTCCCCACCAACACAACACACACAAAAGGGTCAAATACTTTGCTTTCGCAGCTTTCCTTTTCCTCTTTCTTGCTTGCATGCAAGGCCGCGGCTTTGACCCCTCTCTCAACCCCAATATGCTCAATCCATGGCGAAGTGACGCGAAGAAGCAGATCGAGAGGGATTTAACAAGTCGTGCCTGTGCTTTGGAGGCCCCACGATACAAAGCCGAACGCTGCTTTAGACGTGTGGAGTTACATGTGTAATGGGCGACAGACGTGACTTTTAAGTTAGTTTTTGGCAAATGTATGAAACTGTTTTGCTCTTAATTGTTCCTTGCTAAGCTTGGCTAGGCATTTTGTTTTCACAAAGTTTGGATCTACACCTGTTTGGAGACAATGTCACAGGCCCCGATGAAGGTGGCGGGATTCCTTTGGAAAAAGCATATGATCCCGTCCATCTTTTCTGATTTATAGAGGCGTGACACTTGGAAAAAGTTGCATCATTCTGTTCACTCTTATGCATTTCATCATGACCAGAGGGGCGAATCTCTTGCGGCATCTTCCCATACATGCAAATTGCCTAATTGTTGGTGATAAACATGCTGTTTTCTACTCTAAACCCCCCGTCACGTACGTACATGGGGATTGCAGACGCAAAAGAAAAAACCCTAGTACATTTTCTATGCAAAAGCTTCCGCTCCACGTACCTGCGAATGATGCCCACCACCACGCACCGCATTTCCATGAGACCACTCATGCTTAACGCTAATAAACAATCCATCCCGATCTTAACCAACTCTCAAGTACATAATCTAGCAGCTTAGCCCTAAATCCGGACTCTTACATCACCACTCCATCACCTTCTTATCTGCCTAAGTATGAGCCAGATTCCTCAAACAGGAAAGTTACGTACACGTACATGCAAAAAAGAGAGAGATTTTTATAAAAAATAAAGAAAAACCAAGAAGAAAAATGTTTGGCTGTGTTGATTGAGAGGACCTTCATTCTGATTCTCGCTGCACCTGCACCAACAAAAGCTTCTTTTGCAAACAATGCTGTAAGCTTTTGTCCCTCTGCACAGTGCAAGTTTTTCTATTAGGGCTCGCCCATGTCGTGTGTCTTGTTTACTTAAGGTAGCGGCGGGGGATTCATTTCCTAGTCGCTCGCGTCAGCGTGACAGGGCAAAACAGCAGCACAGATTAACAAACAAAAAAGAGAAAAATAAAAAAAGTGCTTTCACACATAAAAAGGAGCACGCACGCACAACTACAGCCCCCATCCCCGTCGATCCAACACTACGTTCCTATGTAATGTGTGGTTTAATAATGCCCACCATGGGCTATGCTTGTAAAAGCAAACAATTCTATCATATTTGGAGACTACGTTCTTTCATGGTTTTGGAGACGCGTTGAAATTTCGTCTAGTAGAGGAGCCCATGCTTTACCAGTGGATGCGCGGGATATACCTTCCGTACGATGGACCACGAATGATTTTGCCATGCAAACGCATGCATGCATGGGCATTGGCCATCGCTTCGTCGGGCGGGCGCGCATGGCATGGGGTTCTTGATGGGACATGGCATGCATGCATGCATGGGGCCGGGACCATTCCATACTGCCAGGTATTGGACAGGCGCGCGAAATGATGATGGCACGCGTGCACCCCCCGATCTGTGTGCTAGTGGATTTACTTACCTTGGCAATTTCACGCAGTTTTTACCTCGTATTACCACGCATTTTCTACCGGGTTATACGTATGTGAGTGCACGCGCACACATGAAGGCATCATGGAGATATGGCCAGCCAGCCCTGCAAAACATGCCCATGTAACTCCCATGATGGCCATTTGCCAGCATGTCCTCTCCAATGGGTGCGTACGGGGCCGTACCACGGGAGCGTGCCTCGGTATGAGAGCTTCCAACTGACCACCAGGGCGGCCACGGTAAGTTACGCTGGGTGTCACATTCCACGGAATGTAGCTGTCGGCGGCGGACCCCAAATCCGGAATGTTGGGGGATGTGCCATTCTGGTAATCGACGGTCACTACGTAGTATGGGCTTGCCCATAGAGCACACGAAGAAGAGATAGATAGAAGAGAGTGCGGTGGGGTTTTTTCTTTTCTTTTGTTACCTAGCTATGGCACCCAGGACGACAACGCGACTCGACAGAGGGATTCTTCTCCGATAGCCGTGCAAGATCGAGCGCCCGGGCGGCGCCTCGCCTCGATCGATCATTCGGTCTTTCCATCGGCATCGATCGGCTTCTTTTCTCTCGCGATCGATCGCGTTCTTTTTTTCCTCTCTCTCTCTCTTTCTTGTGAAATCTCCCGTTCTTGGCGCCGATCTTCCTTGTTTTCTGCGAAATATCGAGCTGGCTGACGCTCGATCTCACGGAATTGGCCGAAATTCTCCGAGTCTTTGTCCTCTCACTCACGCTACTTCGACAGCTCGAGATTTTTGGTTCTTCTTTCCTTTCTTTCTTGCCAGGGATCTCAGTCTTCTCTCTCGCAGCTCCTGAGTGACTCCAAATCGAGATTGCAGAGAGAGCGCTGGATCATTCTCTTATGAGACGACAACGCTCAGTTCATCAAGGGTTGACAAGCCTCTCTGATAATGTGAGTCGCAATCGCTGTTTTGGATATTTTCTTTGCTCCTCGATTGTGACTGGCAACCTGATCCGCGCTGCTCTGTGGTGTCGAACAATCCAGAGCATCATAGTTTCCTTGCTTCCTTGCATCACTCCTGCCGAATTCTCTGCTAGAGCTCTAGTGATGATCATCATCTAGAAAATCTCTCCTAGAGTCATGATCGAGTAGAACGCGCGAGCATTGCATGGCACGGCAGCATTCATCTCCTTTTATCGGAATCTCGGGCTCGTGACTAACTGATGCTGCTACTGCAGGCTGAATCACGATCGAGATAGAAAGAGACGTCAACAATTTCGTGCACTGAGAGGAGACTTCACACGCCACGATCGCAAGGACGAGGAGAGCCAAGAGCTAGCGCTGCGTGCCTCCTCGTTCCATCGTAAGTATGAGCAGATAATGAGCTACACACAAGACGATCTACATGGTTGCGGTCGCTTGGGCAAAGTAACAGCGGACTCTCTCAAGGAAGAAGAAGCTAGCTTGATCCGGAAGAGAAAAGCAGCATGGAATTCATGGCCATGGAGCAACTTTGACGGCGGTGATGGTGCACAAGGATCGAGACCATACAGCAGTGTCAACAAAAAATTCAAGCAAGTAGAAGCAGCAAGGAGCTCGTCAAGTCCTGGATCTAACAGCTCGGAGATCACCACCGATCAGTACATGGCAGCAGAGAGCTCCAAGTCGAGCTGCTTTGATGATGCTTGCACACTAGCGACCACCGCCGGGCAGGGTTCCAGGAATTTAGTAGGCGATCAGGGAGGAGGAGGGGAATTAGGAGCTTCCACTTTGGACCCAGCTCAAGCTTACAAAACCTTCCGGGACGTGGACTTCCATCACGGTGGCTCTCTATCACTCGTAACGCAGCAGTCCCAGCAGGCGAGAGAGAAGCTCTTCCCTGGTTTCAGTTCCAGGGAAGAAGGCCAACAGTTTATATCTCAGACTGTGGTGAAGGCCGAGGATCGCGAAGCTATAGCTCGAGGGGAGGAGTTCCGTCACGACAGCAGCGCCAGTAGACAACGGGCAGGGGAAGGCATTGATTACTACAACGATTCATGGCTCCAACTGGGACTCGGTCCCAGCAGCAGTGGCGCCACTCCAACAAAGGCCGGGCAGGAGATTGCGAGCCCGGAAGCGAGCGAATATCCGGGGGATGATCAAGACTTCGAGGCTCCTGGTGATGTCTCGATACAACCGAAACCAGTGCTGCATTTATTTCCCTCGGAGTCGGTTCATCAGATACCGGAGTACAGTCCCCACAGTCCTCTGAGAATGCCGTCATCACAGTTTGCTGGTCATGGCGAAACTTCTTCCAGCAGCGACTTCTACTTTGGGGGAGGAGCTCATGTACCTCCCGTGAGATTTGACAGCAGAGAGGCGGCTTACAGGGAACACGAGGTCGCCGGTTTGCTCAAGTCGATGAAAGAAGCTCCCAGCACGCAGCTGATGACATCTTATAGCACCAGCAATGCAGCCACTCCTTATGCTGCGACCACCACCGATGCTGCGAGATATATCGATCAGCAGCGACGGCTGAGTATGTTTGCGGAGTCGCTGGTCCCCTACCACGATCAAAGGGCGGCATCGCTTTCGGATCCACCGGTGCATCACGGAGGTTATGGCGGTGATGGCAGTTTTCCGAGCTCCCAGCTCGGTCAGTTCGAGGATAGGCGCTTCCTTTGCGGAAGCTATAATGCCCCGGCTACTGCAACGTTGAGTCACGGGAAAAGATCGCACCAGGACGTTGCTATCTCCTGGAAGACCGAAGGCCTTCCTCTATTTGCTCCGGCGCGACCAGATAGCGTCTACGTTCCTGCGCCATCGCCATTCCATGCGACGTCTCGGTTGCTGCCCAGCCAGCCACCTCATGAAGACTGGCAAGCTTTGATAAAGAGGCTTGGTGGCAGCATGCAAATTCAGTCGCTTTTCCCAAAAGCTGCCGAGGAGGACTTGCAGCAGCAGCAGCAGCAGCAGCGCTCGAGAAGCAACTTGCGGGACCTTCAAGAGCAGTGGAGCAACCAGGAGATGAAACCAGCGGCCTGGTCAAGGCATCACGTCCTGGGTGGCCAGGAAATGATGAAAACCATGCCACCATTCAACTTTCCTGCGTTTGAGGGGCGGGTGCCGGCACCACCGAACGTCCAACAAGGCTGGCACTCGCATTCTTCGGCAGCGAGTCTACCATTCTTCCAGCACCTGGCTGCTGCGGATGGGTCATCCTCGAGGGAGCGACGGAATTTCTCTCCACCGGTCGTCAGAGACCACGACCTCTGGTTCTTCCTACGTGCTGGAGAGAATCAGTAACTTCTACTCTCCCCCCAGCCCACTACTTTACTTTGTGCTCAGATAAAGCTCGGTATACTGATAATTCCTTTACAGGGACAGCGAGCAGTGGTTGCCACAAGTTCCCAAAGGCTACCTGCGGGTCAAGTAAGTAAACAAGAGAAAGAAAAAGAGAGAGGAGAGAGAAAAGCTGTAGACACGACTTCACGCAGCATGGCGTGTGTCGCAGAGTACCGAAATTTTTTAGGATGTACGCGATGGTGGTGCTAATTAGCCTTTTTGTTGGGGGGTGGCTTTGTTGCAGGGATGGAGCGGTACCTGTTTCCCATGTCAAGAAGTACTTGGTGCACAAGCTGGGATTATCGTGCGAGTCAGAGGTACGCTCGCCTACTTTATTTTCGTGTCTGACCAGGTCGTGTCCATTTCTTCGTCACGTCTAGGCAGAGTCTAGCGCATACTTCTTAGTCATTTGACCAGAGAGAGAGAGAGAGAGAGAGAGAGAGAGTGAGAGATCCACACTCGAAGCATGGCAAGCTCCCCTCACACGTATCTGGCGTGATAGTTGCATTGCATGCTCGTCACCTCTCTCAGACACTCCAGTCTCTCGTCGTCGTCAGGGAGAGTCCTTCATCTGGGAAATGAATGAAACTCTCTTCTCTTCCCCCATTCACTCACTGTGCTGCCTAACTGCGCAAAAGTAGAGCTGTCCTGTCCTGGTATGAGTCACAAAACAGCGAGCCCAGTACACGTACGTCCTGCTTGCAGGGGGTGGTCTCGCTTGTTCCTTCCCGATTTCATTCCTTTCATATCTTCTGACCCGTAAAAATGATGGTATATAGGAAGCGCATTTAGTTGCATCATGAATCTCCTCAGTCTGCCTCTCTCTGTGTGTGTGTACTGCTTGCAACTTTTAAGCTTTCCTCACTTCCTCACTCTCTCTTTTTTTTCTTTCTTTTGTTTTGTTTTGTTTTTTGTTTTGCTTTTGCTTCTTCTTCTTCTTCTTCTCTGCTGATGGCATTGCTTTATGCGCGTTGTCTTGTTGTGTTTGTGTTTGGGTACCTCCGAGTATAGGTGGAGATCTCATGCAGAGGCCAGCTACTGCAGCCGGGCTTGTCGCTACAGCATGTGCGTGATGTTATTTGGCACTCGAGTGCGGCAGCAGCAGAAGCAGGAGCAGCAGCAGATGAGCAAAGCCCAGCATCAATGACTGCAACAACACCAACAGCAACAGCAACAACAACATCAGGAGGAATAATATCATCATCAGCCACAACTGCTACACCATCACCACCTCCTCCTTCAGGAAGGAGCATTGTCATGGAGCTGAATTACAGGAGGCAACCACACCAATTTGGGCCACCACCACCACCACCACTCCCAACATCATGAACAAGAGCAGCAGCAAAAAGCTTCACAGAAAACATCTCACAAGACAAACAGAGACACCATCTGTAATTTTGGTCACAATGATTTTCAAAAAATGGAAGAGAATATTCACATTGTTATGCTGTGGTGGAGCAGGAAGTCAAACACGTGCTTGAGGATGGCCGGCCAGTTTGAGACTATCAAACTCGAAAGCATGGCACTCAATAGCACGAGCGTGACGGCGCTTCTGCCGCGTGAAGGAGACCGCGATATTGCTCGAAAGTGGTGGGACTTGCTCATCGCGTTAGTGGTACTCCCTGTTAGAATCTCTTTCGTGCTTTAGTAAATGGTTGACTCTCGTTTCCTTTCCCCAGCGATCAATCACAGTGATGCGAAAGATGCTAGAGCTTACCTGTGTGCTTCTCCTCGAGCTCCGTCGCCGCGTCTTTGAGCTTCTGTGCTTTCTCCGCAGCTCGAGAGGTTGCGTCGGCTGCGGCCTTGACGTCGGGTTCTCCACCGGCGTTTGTCTTGGGCTTGGTTGGATCCGCAGCTCCTTGCAGGCTGTCAATGGCGGTGCCGATGTCCGAACGCATAGAGTCCGCTGTGGCTTCCACCTATGCTTCCAACAGTTGAAGCTTAGAATGCTTGGAAGGTTGGAGCAAAGCAAATGAGCGTGCTCACCTTGTCCATGAGTTCACGGGTGTCTCTTGCGTCATCTGCGATCGACTCGGCCACTTTCTCCACAACTCCTGCCACTTGCTCTATTGCTTCGGCAATGCCGCTCACTGTTTCTGCTGCGTCGTCTATTTGATCTGTGCAGCAGTGCACAAAATTCTTACTGTTAGCATGGAACAATAAGAAAGCAACGTTAATACCTTCCACTTTATCGATAATCTGTTTCTCCTTTTTTATAAATCCCAGGATGAGGGCCGGAATTCTTATCAGAAAACCCAACACATCCAATCTGCAGAATTGGTTAAATAAAAGAGCACCCAAAATGACAATTCTCACATATTCAAGGAGAAAAAGGACTTCGAAACTGGGCCATCTGGATCGTTACTGTTTCATCACAATTCACGAGAATTTGTTTTCGGAGAGGAAAAGATCCGAAAGCTTACCTCGCTCTGGCGATGATATTGGAGCGCCTTGCGGAAGAGAAGCGAGAGATTTGTTCCGCCGGGAAGGATGAGTAGAGCTTCAGAGCAACCAAATCCTGTTGCCTTCTCGTAGAAATTCTGGATCCCGCCCTCGCGCTCAAGTGATTGTTGATTGATAGAACCTGGTAGCCGCGTCGTTCTGCCAGAGGATTGAAACGTAGTCCTGGAAAAGCGATATCAGAAACCGTAGCCATCCTTGAATCCAGATCCAAGCTGCTCGACCTCCGCTTAAGAAGCCCTCGAAACGAAACTTCAAAGTCAGCACTTTCCGAAGCTTCCTAACACAATCGAGACTTGGAAAAAACGTGAGCAAAAGAAACAACAAAGAGTGGACTAAACGACGGCTTGTTTTACGCCGTATACACCTGTTCCAATTCACGCGCAGTGTCAATATCCTATCAAGCAAAACAGAAAAGCGTTCAAGAAACGAAAACGAGTGAAAACTCACGTACAAGCCAGAGCCATCGCGAAGCATTCCTGCGCATGTACATCTCGTTTTTTAGCTATTGGCTGCTGTGCCAGCCTTTCGAGCACGGCGGGATCTCCAGGAACTCGTCAAACTCCTTCACATGAACATCACAGCAGGCCCACTAGCAAGAAAAAAACAAGACAGAAAAAAACGCGTCATAGGATTTGGAATGGATAGACTAGACAAACTGAAGAGAAGCTTACTCCTCTCGATCTGTCGTGAAAAACAGCTGGGCCCGGATGATAACTGCAAGCAGTTTCATGGTTCTCTCGCTCGGTGAATGCCTTTCCGCAGCCTTTATTCCTGCACGTCCGCTTTGCATCCAAGTCAATCACGTTGGAGAGGGCCGCCGGGGCTGCTTGCACCGATGATTGCGAAGCTTCTTTCGCAGCTGGTTTTTCCACGTCTTTGCTGGGGGCTGCCACTGGTCCACACGATATCTTTGAGCCTGCGAAGAACAGATATTTTAATTTCAAGTTACGAGCATAAAGGACAAGTAAAGAGAGAAAAAAGATCAAAGCCATCGTCCGTGCATGCGAATGAACAAGACAAATGACAAAAGGTTTAAGGTTTTCTTACCGTGATCTGAACAGTAGAAACCTTGTTTGCATCTCAAGCAATTGGTGTTACTGGCGTCTCCCTGTGGTACAGTTTTGCTTGACTTGGGAGCTGGTTTTGGTTTCTCTGATGTGTGCTTTCCGTGCGTACAGCTGATGGAACAAGGAGAAAATTTAGCCTCCAAAAAGAAAGAAGAAGAACAAAACAACGAACGAAAAAATGACCGCAGCAGAAATAAAAGAAAACAAAAAAGAAGAAAAACAAACACAAAAGAAGAAGGAAGAAGAAGTAGAAGAAGAAAGTAGACGTACCCTGGAATGCTTAAGAACAAGCTAAAATCGTGACTCTGCTGTTTGCAGCAGCTCCATTGTTTCCCACCGTCGTGAAACAGGGGCTGAAATCACCACAGCAATCCCAAACTGAAGAAATCAAGCACGGATTTGACAACACATACCGGCTGCTCGAAAAAATCCAGTTCCAGTTCCAATTTCATGCACAAGATCAAAATTGGAGGCAAAACTCTGTGAAAACGCGGGAAGAAAACCACAAACTTACGCCGGGATGGTAGCAGCAAGCGTTCTCATCGTCGTTTTGATCGGGAGAGAAGAGCGCGTCGCATCCAATCCGCTGGCATTGGACCTTCCCCATCGCTCCAGCTCCCACACACAAGCCCTAAAAATAATTAACATTACAAGTTTGGCTTACACTATCACATTCTACCAGCAAAGACTGACATACTGCGCCAGATTTCGGTTCTGGTCCGGAAGGGCATCGGTTCGAATCCACAGCATTTTTTATGGTTTTTGGTTCACTATGGCTGTCTCTCCAGATGCCCCTTTCCGATTCATTCCAAGGTCATTGTTCTGAAATCTACAAGATGGTAGTGACCAGCCAAGCAGCGAGCCAGCATCGATAGAGCTCGAATTTTGGGGGCTAATAGCATCAAAACTCCAGCAATTTCCAAAGCTTTTTTCTTTGTGTGTGCTGTGAGCCCGATGGCAATGGGGATGTGAGTGTCAAAAGTGGTGAGAAGGTGCTCAGGAATGTGATGCGCAAGAACAAACTTGAGCTCTACAGATTGTATGTGAGCTTATGAACAAAGTCAAGGGTGAAATTTGATTTTTTTTTCTTACTGAAGAGCGATGAACTGTGGAGGAGGGGGTGGCAGCTGTGGAAATTGTATTTTGGAGATTTTAGAATGACAAGAGTTGCTAAGTCAAGCCAACCAGTGCTGAAAAGAAATATCTCAAACAGGTAAAGGAGAATTCAAAGCAGACAAATGAATAATGTATTATGTAAAACTTTCATAAGCCTGGTACTTTGGAGGCTAGCTTGTCAAACAATTGTCAGAGATAAGTCTGATGCTGGCAAGGTAAGAAAGTATCTTTTTGCCAAGTCAATTTGATCTCTTGTTTTTCTTTTTTTTTTCTGCACATGGTTGTTCAGAGATTACCATAGAAGAAGAAATCTTTCTATACCTGCACATTAATTGATTATTAATTCTAATGTTTTTTCAAAAGTTCTCTCTTTGTATTTGGTAGTGCAGGAGTGAAAGGTTTTCCTTCTAGTGAGCTCGGTAGAACAACTCTGTAATCTGTAAGTCAGTAATGTGAAGATTAAAGAAGAAGTTTGAGAGAAGAAACATATATTAATTAGCATTTTGTTGATCATCATGAAGTTAACTCCCCAATTCTATAGTCTACAAATAGTCAACAAAATGTGAGCTTCCCATGTCTCAATAAGACAATGCTGATATTTATACTAATGATATAAAATATATTGTTATCTATGTTCAAGAGACAAAATCAAAATATAAAGTTTGCAAGCTTATCACGAACCACATCAATAGCTGGATCACATTATGTTATAAATGGTGATCTAGAGCTTCATGCTAAAAAAAGTGTCCTATATTGGGATTGAAAAGTTCATATGGGATGCATATAATTATATCCTTTTTTTAATGCAGGATTTAACATTTGACATTATTTCTTGCAGAAGCATAGCAGCCTCTTGAGAGGACAATTTACCTGTCCAGCCAGAAATAACTAGATTTCTCTAGCAAGCTTGTGTCCCTAGCACTTTGCTTGCTGCACTAGGTCATCTAGAGGAGTAAGCTTCTCTTCAGTTCGTCTAGTCTATCCAGTAAGAGAAACCATCTGTAATTTTGGTCAGAATATTCAAATTGTTATGCCGTGGTGGAGCAGGAAGTCAAACACGTGCTTGAGGATGGCCGGCCAGTTTGAGACTATCAAACTCGAAAGCATGGCACTCAATAGCACGAGCATGACGGCGCTTCTGCCGCGTGAAGACGATATTGCTCGAAAGTGGTGCGACTTGTTCATCGCGTTAGTGGTACTCCCTGTTAGAATCTCTTTCGTGCTTTAGTAAATGGTTGACTCTCGTTTCCTTTCCCCAGCGATCAATCACAGTGATGCGAAAGATGCTAGAGCTTACCTGTGTGCTTCTCCTCGAGCTCCGTCGCCGCGTCTTTGAGCTTCTGTGCTTCCTCCGCAGCTCGAGAGGTTGCGTCGGCTGCGGCCTTGACGTCGGGTTCTCCACCGGCGTTTGTCTTCGGCTTGGTTGGATCCGCAGCGCTGTCAATGACGGTGCCGATGTCCGAACGCATAGAGTCCGTTGTGCCTTTTACCTATGCTTCCAACAGTTGAAACTTAAAATGCTTGGAAGGTTGGAGCAAAGCAAATGAGCGTGCTCACCTTGTCCCTGAGTTCTTCTCTTCGGTCTTCTGGGATCGACTCGTCCTCGATAATTTCTTCCACTTTCTCTAGTCCTTCTGCAATGCCGCTCACTGTTAGTGCTGCGTCGTCTAATTGATCCGTGCAGTAGTGCACAATAGCATGGAACAATAAGAAAGCAACGTTAATACCTTCCACTATTTCCATAATCTGTTGCTCCTTTTTTATAAATCCCAGGATGAGGGCTGGAAGTCTTATCAGAAAAGCCAACACATCCAAGCTGCAGAATTGGTTAAATAAAAGAGCACACAAAATGACAATTCTCACATATTCGAGGAGAAAAAGGACTTCGAAACTGGGCCATATGGATCGTTACTGTTTCGTTACAATTCACGAGAATTTGTTTTCGCAGAGGAAAGATTCGAAAGCTTACCTCGATCTGGCGATGATATTGGAGCGCCTTGCGGAGGAGAAGCGAAAGATTTGTTCCGCCGGGAAGGATGAGTAGAGCTTCAGAGCAACCAAATCCTGTTGCCTTCTCGTAGAAATTCTGGATCCCACACTCGCGCTTAAGTGATTGTTGATTGATAGAACCTGGTAGCCGCGTCGTTCTGCCAGAGGATTGAAACGTAGTCCTGGAAAAGCGATATCAGAAGCCGTAGCCATTCTTGGATCCAGATCCAAGCTGCTCGATCTCCGTTTAAGAAGCCCTCGAATCGAAACTTCAAAGTCAGCACTTTCCGAAGCCACCTAACATAATCGAGACTTGGTAAAACGTGAGCAAAAGAAACAACAAAGAGTGGACTAAACGACGGCTTGTTTTACGCCGTATACACCTGTTCCAATTCACGCGCAGTGTCAATATCCTATCAACCAAAACAGAAAAGCGTTAAAGAAACGAAAACAAGTGAAAACTTACGTACAAGTCAGAGCCATCGCGAAGCATTCCTCCGCAAGAGCATTTCATTTCTTTAGCTATTGGCTGCTGTGCCAGCCTTTCGAGCACGGCGGGATCTCCAGGAACTCGTCAAACTCCTTCACATGAACATCACAGCAGGCCCACTAGCAAGAAAAAAACTAGAAAAAGAACACGTCATAGGATTTAGAATGGATAGACTAGATAAACTGAAGAGAAGCTTACTCCTCTCGATCTGTCGTGAAAAACAGCTATCATCCGGATGATAACTGCAAGCAGTTTCATGGTTCTCTCGCTCGGTGAATGCCTTTCCGCAGCCTTTATTCCTGCACGTCCGCTTTGCATCCAAGTCAATCACGTTGGGGAGGGCCGCCGGGGCTGCTTGCACCGATGATTGCGAAGCTTCTTTTGCAGCTGGTTTTTAATCGTTGAGTTGCGATATCTTTGAGCCTGCGAAGAACAGATATTTTAATCTTAAGTTACGAGCATAAAGGACAAGTAAAGAGAGAAAAAAGATCAAAGCCATCGTCCGTGCGTGCGAATGAGCAAGACAAATGACAAAAGGTTTAAGGTTTGCTTACCGTGATCTGAACAGTAGAAACCTTGTTTGCATCTCAAGCATGCCGGCGTCTCCCTGGGTAAAGTTTTGCTTGGCTTGGGAGCTGGCTTTGGTTTCTCTGATGTGTGCTTTCCTTGCGTACAGCTGATGGAGAAAGGAGAAAATATAACCTCCAAAATGAAAGGACCAAAACCAACGAACGAAAAAATGACCGCAGCAGAAATAAGAGAAAAGAAGAGAAAAACAAACACAAAAGAAGAAGGAAGAAGAAGTAGAAGAAGAAAGTAGACGTACCCTGGAATGCTTAAGAACAAGCTAAAATCGTGACTCTGCTGTTTGCAGCAGCTCCATTGTTTCCCACCGTCGTGAAACAGGGGCTGAAATCAGAAGAAATCAAGCACGGATTGACAGCACATGCTCGAAAAACTCCAGTTCCAGTTCCAGTTCCAATTCCAATTCCATGCACAAGATAGAATTGGAGGCAAAAATCTGTGAAAACGCGGGAGAGAACCACAAACTTACGCCGGGATGGTATTAGCAAGCGTTCTCATCGTCGTTTTGATCGGGAGAGAAGAGCTTCGCATCCAATCCGCTGGCATTGGCTAAACATAATTTCAATTATTAAAAAACTTGTGTTTAGCTTTGGCATTTGGGGTTAAACTTACACACTCTATCAGCAAAGGTTGACATGGCCGAGTTGGTCTAAGGCGCCAGATTAAGGTTCTGGTCCGAAAGGGCGTGGGTTCGAATCCCACTGTCAACAGATAAATTCTCTCTTTTTTGCTCTCTATGGCTGTCTCACCCGCATTCTCCATATGCCAATGCGAGTTTTCAAGTCCTTTGCGATTCATTCCAAGGAAGAAAGCCAGGCCATTGTTCTCAAATCTACAAGATGGTAGTGAGCAGCCAAGCAGCGAGCCAGCAGCGATAGAGCTCGAATTTTTGGGGGTAAAAAAGCATCCAAACTTCAGCAATTTCCAAGGTTTTTTTCTGTGTGTGTGTGCTGTGCAGCCCGATGGCAAAGGGGATGTGTTGAAAACGAGTGTCAAGAGCGGTGAGAAGGTGCTCAGGAATGTGATGCGCGAGAACAAGCTCGAGCTCTACGGATTGTACGTAAGTTTCTGAACAAAGTCAAGGGTGTTAGATTTGATATTTTTTTTTTTTTTTCTTACTGAAGGGCAAGCTGATGAACTGTGGAGGGGGTGGCAGCTGTGGAACTTGTATTGTGGAGATTTTAGAGGGACAAGAGCTGCTAAGTCAGCCAACCAGTGCTGAAAAGAAGCATCTCAAACAGGTAAAAGATCAAACCAAACAACTTGAACAATTTCTTACTTTGAAACTTTCAGAAGCCTGGTACTTGGAGGCTGGCTTGCCAAACAATTGTTGGAGATAAGTCTAATGCTGGCAGGGTAAGAAAAGTAAATTACTTGCCAAGGCAATTTGATCTCTTGTTTTTCATTTTTTTTTTTTTCTGCAGGTGGTTGTTCAGAGATTACCACAGAAGAAGAAATAGATTCCAAAAGTTTCTTTCTATATACCTGCACATAAATTTCCCATCTTTTTTCAGAAGTTGTTTGGTAGCAGCAGAAGTGAAAGGTTTTTCTTCCAGTGAGCTCGTTACAACAGCTCTGTGATCTGCAAGCCAGTAGTGTGAAGATCAAAGATGAAGGTTGAGAGAAGAAACGTACGTTAATTGGCATTTCGTTGATGATCACGACACAGCCTTCCTCGATGCTGCGAAGTGTGGATACTTCGCCACCAACAACGATGTTAAGCACGACACCATCTGGAAAGAAGAGAACAATAATCTATCACAAGAGATAAACACGGAACTACCACTTACTGGAGCTCGGTTCATTCGTAGAACTCTTTGTGACGCTTTGTGTCCCTCCGGAGGGGCTCAAACAAGCACCGAGACGCCTCAAGTACGCTTCCTAGAGAAGCAAACGAAAACAAAGAATGAAATCCCGGAGAGAACGAAAGAAATGCGAAGATATCATAAGAAAGCTCGCCTTTTTCACGGGAAGATCGTAGTTGACAAGCGCTCTTGCGAGAAGGGAATGCTCTCCAAAAGTGCTGGACGGCAGGCAAGCGTCGGTGACAAGGAGGAGGAAGAGCTTTGGAGGCATGGTGGAATCACCCTCCATCGTTACTTCACTCTTCCTCCATTCTGCCATGGCACGCCGGAACTCTTCGATCGTTGTCGCTCGTTCGTGCTCGCATAGATCACTGTGCTGCGTCTCACAAATCGTTTAGTCTCGAAGGAAAAGAGCTGGCAAGAAACGAAGAAGAAGAAAGCTTTTCTTACGAGGAATTTTACGTGGAAGTGTGGACACGACGCAGCGGCGGCGAAGACTGCGTCGAGGCTGTCGCGCGCGTTGCAGCAAATTACTAGAGGAACTCCCGATCGCTTCCAGAAGTGCTCAAGCAAATCGAAGAAAGTTCTCTAGAAAGGAAAACGAAGAACACACGTAAAACGAGAGAGCCAGAGACTATCTTCACCATTTTAAATTCTTGCCGATCGACCGCGATGTAGAAATGCCGCGGCGAATCTCCATCGCGCTGCCTAGATCGGAGTAGAAGCGATCGGAAATAGTAGGAAAGAGAATTCCTACCTGGGAGTCACGGATGCCTCGCTCATAGCTACCGCGCATAAACCCTAAAATCTCATGGCTATGGCGTCCATTGCCAGATTATCCGCGGCTCCTCCAGCGGCACGCCCGATCGGCGCCAAGACTCCGCGGTGCTTCTTCTCTTCGCAATGCAGGATCGATCGCAGCAGGAGGAATCGCGGCACGATTGCGAGAGCGTTCTCGGACGATTCGAGGCGAGATGGAGAGAAGAATGCGGGCAAGAAAGGCGGCCAGGAAGGAGAAGAAGAAGGAGAAGAGGGCGTGGAAGATCTGATGCTACCGGTGGAATGGTCGACGGCGTCGGCAGCAGCAGAGGTGTGTGCTATCGATCAATCCATCGATCGTGACGAAAATCTTGGAAAATCTCGCAGGAATCGCAGTGGCTGAGGGAGAATCTCCATGCCTGGCTCGACAACGAGTACTGCCCGGAGCCCGCCAACGCCGAGATCAGCGATCGATGCGCCACTGTCTACTACCGCTGCCTGATCGAGAAGGAGCTCGATGCTGGCAACATCCTCATGCGAATCGTGGAGAATTTGGAGAGCTTCTCCTTCAAAGAGAGCTTCCATGGCGCGTTCTCCTCCGCGAACGCGGCCATTCAGCTCATTCTCACGAGAGTGAAGTAAAGAGAGGTATTAAAGCTTAACTAAAATGTTTTGTTTAAGCTAAAATCGTGTCGACGGCCAGGATGGAGGCAATCGGACGGACACCAATGCCCACGATAAGAACACGACTAAGTCACGAAGCTTACATTATGGTAAGCTACTGGGGACTGGATCGCGTCAATAGGTACTAACAACAGGAGAATTCAGAAGAAGAAGAAGAAGAAGACGAACAGGGGAGCTCCTCCAATTCACTCTTAATTTTCCAATGTGTCGATAGCGAGCGACAAAGATGAAAGAGGGTCTGGCAATTCTCCTCTGCATCGCGTTTATTCTTCGTCAGATTTCTTCGCAGACTCCAGGGCCAGGTACATCCCTCTATCCTTTTCGCGGAATTAAATGCCACTCATCTCATTTTCTGTTCTTTTCTTTCTTTTGCACCAGAGTTTCTGAGCTTGTCATGTGGATCGTCGAGCAATTTCACAGATAAAACCACTGGGCTTATTTGGATTCCAGATGCGAGTTTTGTGAACAACGTAGGCATCACGTCGAGCATCCAAGGTAATTCTGTGAGATACTTCCCATTCTCCAAGACCACGCGCAACTTCAATTGCTACGACATCGCTCACCAAGCCGGCTTGCATCTCACGAGAGCAACTTTTAGATATGGAAACTACGACACGCGCAGAAGGCCTCCCTCGTTCCAGTTTGTCATGAACCAGACTGTGGTGTCAACGGTGGACCTTTCGTCCAGGGACCCTTGGATTGAGGAACTTGTGTGGACTTCTTCCACTGCCGGCGCTACAGCCTTCTGTTTGCTCGCGACTTCAGAAGGTGGTGTTCCAGTTATCTCGTCTTTAGAATTTCGGCCGCTCGAAGAAAATGCTTATGACGCAGCTACATCGAGACTAGACCGTGGCGCAATGCTGCAAATGATCTACAGGATCAACTGTGGTGAAACGACGAAGACACTGAGGTAGCTTGCATTGCATATGTCCTCGCACTTCCTCTCATCTAAATGCTTTTCGTGTGCCAGATATCCAGATGATCAACAGGATCGCATATGGGATATTGATACCAACTATTTTCCTACAGACTCAACAGCTTCAATCTATAATGGTTCCATAAACTCAAGTGCACCAGCAGCACCCCAATCGATTCTCCAGACATCTAGAGTGGGTTCAGGAAATGCTCTCAGCTACCTTCTCGCTGTCGCTGATAGGAAAATGACGCAAAGCTATTTTATCGTCGCACACTTTGCAATGCTGACCAACACCACCAGTCAAACGTCCTTCGACATTCTGCTAAATGGGAACTCGAGCAAGTCAAGCTTTCTTCTCCCCGGTAGCTTTCAGGGGACTTCGTATTCCTTTACTGGGAATTCGACCACCTCGCGATCGGCCGAGAGTTCATCAACACTCAACATTACTTTACAGGGCATTGCTGGTTCGCCAGAGATAAACGCATTGGAAGTTTACCGTCCAGTTAGTATTGTTCCTCCGACAACGAGTGCTGATGGTATGCTTTTCTTTCAGAACTTCTGATGCAAAAAGTGCTTACTATTTCGACATGCAGTCACATCTCTAAGTTCCATTTGTTCATATTACACGATAACGCTGGGCGACCACGATCCTTGCTTACCAGTCCCATGGAACGGAGTGAAGTGCTCATCTGTACAATCTCCTCAAGTGGAATTTTTGTAAGTGACATTGATCTTTTTCTTTTTGTTAATAAGAGCAATGGTTTCATTTTCCCCATAGGGATCTTTCTGGCAAGGGATTGAGGGGTTCCTTGTATCCTCAAGTGGGAGACCTTTCCGGGCTAACATATCTGTGAGTATGCAAAAGCATTTTTGTGGTTTACCAACGCATACATTTCCTTTTGGACAGAAACATTTCAAACAATCAACTTTCTGGAATTATTCCCGTCAACCAGTGGGATTTGTCAGCGCTTGAAACTTTGTAAGATGATATTTATCGTTATTTTCTCTCTATGCTATTGTTGTTTAAGCTGTTGAAGTTGACAGGGATCTGAGCTACAACCAGCTGTCCGGAGCACTCTCTTTGGATTCACGTTCATTACAGAACTTAAAGCTGCTGTAAGTCCCGTTTTTTCTAAAGCTGATTTAAAGTGTGTTTACTGTGTTCATATAGGAACTTGCAAAATAACAGCTTAAGTGGTGAGCTTGATTCCTTGGTGAATTTACCGAATCTACAATCAGTGTGAGAGCCAGACTTTCTTTACAAGAGAAAAGATAATTACTTATCTTACAGGAATGTTGCAAACAACAATTTCTCGGGACAGATTCCAGCTGCGCTCGTGGGAAAACTTCAGTAAGTTCTTCTCCGGTCAGACAGGAAGTAACGTTTTCTTTCGCAGGTTTAACGGAAATCCTTGTCTTGGCTCTGCAGACTGCTCTCAAGCTGCAGCAGTGCCTCCGGCCCCAGGTCCGGAAACAGGCATTGTTGTGGATCTCAAGAGCAACAGCCAAACGAAAAAAGTTATTGGTATCGCTACTGGTAGCGCTATAGCTGCTATTTTGGTTCTTGCTCTTGGTTTCCTTCTGTTACGAAGAAACCGGAGCAAGGAAAAATCATTTGAAAGAGGTACATTTATTTTGGCGGATGTTTTCGTTTCTGAAGACGATTTCTTCTTTAGAAATAAGGGCGGGTTCAAGAGACCTCATTGGATGCAAAGAGTTCTCGTACAGAGAGCTCAGCACTGCAACAAACGGCTTCAAGACCGAGCTCGGTAAAGGAAGCTTTGGTCCGGTTTATCATGGGAGACTTGCAAACGGTCAGGAAGTCGCCATCAAAGTCCGATCAGATGCGTCTCAGCTTGGAGCCGACTCGTTTATCAATGAGGTTCGTTCTTAGAAGAAACAAAAACCATCAAGATCAAGCTGGTTTTTTGGCTTTCAGGTGAGCCTACTATCTCGTGTACACCATCAAAATCTCGTGGAACTGGTAGGCTTCTGCCAAAAGTCCAAGAAGCAACTTCTTGTATACGAGTTTATGGGAGGAGGGACGTTAATGGAGCACCTCTATGGTAAGCACGAAACAAACTGCATTGTGCTAAAAGAAAGTTATTTCTCTCAGGCTCAAAGTCTCCATTAGATTGGAAAGCACGGGTAAAGATAGCCGTGGGTGCTGCGACAGGTGACTCAACACTTTGATTACGTTTCTCTTGTTGACCAAACTTGAATCATGATCTTTTCAGCACTGGATTACCTTCACAATGGGAGCGACTCCAAGATCATTCACAGGGACGTGAAGAGCACCAATATCCTTCTCGACTCGGGGATGAATGCCAAGGTAGCAGACTTTGGGCTCTCCAAGCACGTCACTAGGATTGATGCGACGCACGTCACAACTCTGGTAAAAGGCACGGTTGGATATCTCGATCCAGAGTAAGAAAGAGTTGTTTTAAAGTTCGAGCGGTTCACAGTAGTTGTCTTTCGCTGTTTCAGATACTATGCCTCAAACCAGCTTACCGAAAAGAGTGATGTTTATAGCTTTGGGGTGGTGCTTTTGGAGCTCATTTGTGGAAGAGAGCCACTCAGTGACCGCGTTCCTGCCGATCAATACAGCATCATCACTTGGGTATGAAAGTTTTCCCTTCGCACAATTCACGATTCCCCCTGATACTTCTTTCGTGCTCGCAGGCAAGACCATATCTCCTGAGTGGATCGTACAACGAAGTCGTGGATAGAAACATCGCAGGGCGATTTAGCATTGGAAGCATGGCAATCTTCGCGAATGTGGCAGCAAAATCAGTGGCAAGAGACCCAAACGAGCGACCCAAGATGAGCCAAGTGTTGCGAGACCTGAGGGAAGCCCAAGCATTCGAAACTGCCATGTAATTAAGAAGCATTTAGTGTTCGTCTCAAACAACCCAAAGCCATAGGAGTCCCCGAGTGTGAGCTCATTGAGCATGGCGCCATAATGGCATTGACGAAGAGCCACCTGAGCTTGGCCATGTCGAGGGAGAGAGAAAAGTTGGCGACGCTCCCGCCGGGGCCCCTCCTCTTGCGATGCATCAGGCAGTCGAGGCTGTGGCAAGTAGACGAGCGAGGGGCAGAGTGCGAGGAGCTGCTGCGTAGTGGCGACGTCCAAGCTTGCGCGTATGACGCAGTAGACGAGATTGGCGAGAGGAGTTTCTGCCGTTGTTGCCAGATCGCTTCAATGCCGGCATGGAGGCATCGCAGCTGGTGGCAGGCGAGAATGCTGGACCACAAGCCATCCACACTGATGCTGATCATGAGGGAGTGGAGGGTTTTTCCAATCGCCTGGAACCAGGCGAGGGAAGATCGTCGCTGCGGTGAGAAACCAGTCAAGGACAGGGAGCGGAGATTGCTGCTGCTGCTGCTGCCAAACCAGGAAACGAGGCCCTGGCGCTGCTCATCGTCGGAGGAGATTGACGATTCCAACCTGAAATGTGTGACCAGCCTTGCCAGATGCGCCCACCGCCTGCTCACCAGAGAACACGAATACAATTGGCGCGAGGAAAAGAGTAGAGAGAGGATCCAGACGAGGAGCTTGTCGGGAAGATCATCCATCGCCAAGTTTCCTTCCCCTCTACAGAGCATAGCTCTGTTTTTAGGGTTCTTGGCAATGTATGGAGGTAAAGAGAAGATATTTTGCTCCAGGGCTTTAGGGTTTAAGCGGCAATGGCTGCGACGGGCGCGCGTCTCCTCGGCGGAAGGATGCTCTGCTCCATTCTCGCCGAGCCTCGAGGCGCTTCCAGTCGATGCCTGCGCCTCCCGCTACCCAGGAATCCTAGCAGCTGCTCTCAGGTGGGTTGTCGATCAGCAATAGACTGAGCGGGGCCTTTTTCTTCTTATTCTTCGCAGAGAATGCCGCCATTGCTCGTGAGCCGGAGATTTGCTTCCATGTGTATGGCGACCGATCGAGTAAGTGCGCAAAATACAATGCGCATTCTTGTAGAGTGATACATTCTTGGATTGTCTTGCGCAGTCTACTTGAAGGTCTGAGCAACTAGCTACTCCAGGTTTTGTTGTGTTTCTCCTTCACTTCCATTGTTTTCTCCCTTCTCCTTCTCCATTTCTGTCAGAGTATGTTTGTGTGTGTGTTTCTTCTTTACTTCCATTTGTTTCTCCCTTCCTCTCTTTCTCCATTTCTTTCAGAGTCCTTTGTGTGTGTTTGTGTGTGTGTGTTTCTTTTGGTTTTCCATTGTGTTCTCACTCGATTTTTTTTTTCTTTCTAGAACGCTTGGGAGGAGAGAAACCTCAACGACTGGGCTATCTCGAAGCTAAGGGTATGGTTCTTACGAAACCCACGACAAACGTCTGAGCTTTTTCTTTTGATCAGGAGCTTTTACTTGCTGCGGAGCCCATCACTTTCGGAGAGGGTTCAGCCTACGTGACCGATGTTTCTCGCTGCACTGGTGATGTAAGCACGAAGATCTGGAATTTGGAATTCTTCCAACGCTCACTCTCTTTTACAGGCGGCGATACTCACAGTACGAGGGAAAAGACGAGTGGATTACAGCTTCGACATTCTGCTGGACTTTCTCGGTATCCTAATCTTTTAAGATGAAAGCTGCAAGAGACCAACGTAAAACGTTGCGCAGGCAAGATCGAGGTCGGTGAGCCGTTTCAAGTGGAAGGGACACTCTCGGTCGATACTTGCTTGGGTGATCTTGACGATCTTCGGGTATGTCTTGTTTCCTCTTAGCACAAAGCTTTGAGCCGAGCGGATGATGCAGATAGACGTAGCCTTCACCGAAGTTCCAGAGACGCTGCCCGAGCCAGAACGCGAGCACCTCCGATCCCAGATGAGCCAGTTCCTCCCAAAGATCAGGACGCAGCTCGAGTGCTTCGAGAAGGAGATCAAGGAACTCGTCTGCGATTGAAAAAGGAGGAAAGCAAACGAAGAATCCTACCAAGTTTTCTCATGTCTTTCACACGTTTATTTTCAATCAATTAACATCTTGATGATCTTCCTTCCAGATCATCTGCTGGACTTGCTCCAGTGCCTGCGTGATTTGCTCCTCGAGTTGCTGCATCGTCTCTCCTATCTCTTGCTCATGCCTCGTCATTTCACGCATTGTCCGTAGAATTTCTCTCTCGGCTTCTAGCATCTCCTCAACATTTTGCTGAAAGACAAGAGCGCAGTAAAAACCACTCGTTTCATCAAAACTTACCGCCAACTCCTGTAATATTCTCTTCCAATTGCTATTGTCCATATCACCACAAACCCTAAAATACTAGAACCCAAAATACTTCCAATTTGGGCCCTAAATTTTACTCTCTTGCCACCCTTTTTGTACAAATGGCCAAGTTGATCAAGCTCAGCTCCTACCTTTGCGTGGGTGGTAAGTTCCCAAATCACGATCTCCAGGCTCTCCTCCAGCACAACAATGGCGATCAATCGTGGTCACTGCTGCTCAAGGACGACGACGAGATCATCGCCCTGGACGACGATCACAGCAGCAGCGACGTCAATCATCACCTCCTGCCCAAGCTCTCGCTTCGCAAATCCTTGAAAGCTCCTCCAAATCCCCGGTGTAGGATCCTCCACTGGTCGGCGCTGGGAGGCCTGGTTTGCACTGTCGGCTCTCTCCGAGGCCTCGCTCACGAGATCCTCGTCTTTAATCTGCTCACGGGATCCAGCAGGAGGCTGCCGCATCCTTCCACTCTCGACTCGAGCCCTCTCGGCATGGCGATGGCGCGGGATCCATGCTCCAAAGCCTGGAACAGCAGCTACACGGTTATAATCTTCGATGCGTTCTACATCCATACTTACAGCTCCAGGCGCGGGGACTGGGCCACGACGCTGGCCGAGGAGAGTTTCAAGCCTTCCACCGGAGTGATCGTCGCCAGCGACGAGCTCGTCTACTACGCGTGCGATTCAGAGACGCTGCTGCTCAGCCTGTACGATTGGAAACTCCTCAGGAGAGTGAGCCCACCTTGCGGGTCCATTAGAGTCGACGAGCGCGACGTTTCTATCTCCAACAATCTCGTCGACTTTCGGGGGCGCTACGTGACGGTATCCGGGGTCCGGATAGAGGGCAGTGATGAGAACTCCATTGCGGTATGGGAGCTCGACCAAGGCAAGCGGGTGACCAAGAGCCCGTGGGTGCTCTGGCTGTGCATGCCGTGTAATCTCCTGAAAGACTTTATTGTAAAGGTCGAGCAGACTACGTTTGTAAGAGCTTACCAGTTTGAGGCGTCCTTCACCGGTCGGCTGATTGGAGCCTCTCTCAAGGGACACCCAGAACTCGGGGGACTCGCTTATGACACGAAGCTTGATGTCTGGAGCCATGTCCCCGAGAGTGCATTTAGGATCGCCGTTCCGCCACTGGTTTGCTTTCAGCCGGACTTTAGAGCTATTCCTTGACATATCTAGAAAGAACTAATGATGTAAAACGAATGACGTGATTAGAAACATGTAAGCTTACTTGCTATATGAAGAGCACAACTGCTTCGTAGTGTATGTATGCTGCGGCTCCCATTCTTATCTATCCTTTGTTCCAGCCCCTTTCACGCTGGTGCATGGAACCCTTCCTGCCACTGAGAATTCGTTGGGCTCCTCCTGGATGCTTGTTCCAGGACCTGGCCACCAAACTTACTCGTCTCATTCTGGTACCACTGGACTGCTTTGTTTCCGGGAGGTTGTCGCACGTTTCCTTCTTCAACGCCATCAGCTTCTCCCTCGACCGCATTAACGGCGAGCTGAAGTGTACTCTTCTGTGTTGCCTTAGCCTTGTGAGCGTTCCAGGAACGTCGATACCTTTCCAGGCTACGGAAGGGACGTTGCTATCTTCTACCTGGAAGGTGCGGCTCTCTGCTTGGACGATACTCTGCACTGTCTTAATGTCCTCTTGCACCTCCGATGACTTAAGCTGAGTTGATGGAGTCTCCACGACGAATTTCGTTGGAGCAGGAGCCAAGGACGTCCGTCGAGTGATTCCGCACAGCGAAGTTCGGCGGGGCATTGGCATAAGCGGCGGAGAATTGAATCTCGAAGGTACCACCTTCAGCCTTGCGTGTGGAGGCTTGCGTAGAACCGAAGTAAGACCATCTGGATTTTGGGGATCGATGTTCTCGTTTTGCAGAGCACGGTTTTCACCAAGGACTTTGGGAGCTTTCTCGTCTTTGCTTAGCGGCTTAAGCTCATTCTCCAGCGCCCGCTCTTGTAACGGTTGTCTGTAACTATTTTCCTTGGGGTGAAAACTAGCGGCTGTTTTAAACGCAGCTTCAAGAGCTTCTTCCGCATTCGCCCTGTCAGCCCTGTCCCACGATCCTTCTCTATCAGCTTTCAGACGCTTTTCCTTGAGAGCCACTTCTGCTGCAAGACGAGCTTTCTTCTCGGTGGCTAGCTGGAGCTCCAGTTCAGCAGCAACTTTGTCTCGGTCCTTGACCTTTTCAGCTAGGCTCTGACACAGTTGTTCTTTTACCTTCAGTTTACTTTCGGTGGTACGTAAGCTGTCTTCGAGCCTTCTGACGCTATCATCCTTGGTTTTCACATCTTGCTTAGCCTTCTCTGCCTGCATGCTCTGGGTTTTAGGAGACTGAGATTCACAGAGAAATACTTTACCATTTGCTTATACTTGAAAAACTCCGAGGAATCGAGCTGCTTCTTTGCCGGACCCATCTCTACACCACGTACTCTGCTAGCAAAATTTAAGGAGCACAACGTTTCCCCGACATCAGCCTCGGTGGGGCTTATCTGTACGAACATAAGAGTCTTCGATTCTCCTCCTGCACAAAAGAATGAATGGACAATTGAAGAGGGAACGCCAGACATACCAAGCGAGTCTTGCAGAAGATGTGTTAACTTCGAGTTCCTGCACAATGCCCGACTTATTAATGTCTGCGTTGCTCTAGACCTGAATTACCTGTAAGGCACGTGGTTACTTTTCGTCGTTAGAGCGTGAATAACATCTCCCAGGGCTGATAACGACTTGTTGATGTTCTGAGCTTCTTTCAGGCGATCACCCTGAACATCACTTTTTGCAACTCTCTCGCTTCCAGCAAGATCGACAAGCCAAAGCTTGCTGCGAGTACATTCTCCTGTAGTCATGTTCTCGCCTCTTACTTTCACGCACAACATGCTGCAACGGCATCATTAGAGACCAAAATTTAAACTTCAAGACGTTATACAAACCAGTGAGAACGGCTACTATGTTCGTTAGCATTTGTAGAGCCAACAGCTCGAGCAGCGCTCCCGCTTTGGAGAACCTCCCATACTTCTGTCATGCTGTGTACCTCAGCCTCGACGAGGCCAGGAACACGATGGCCACCATCAGCGTCTTGCTTAATTTCTAGCCTGAACAAAATGTGTTAGCAAGCCGCAATAATAGCTTTGCCTACCTCTTTGGCGCCAGACCAGCTTGAGATGGTGTTGTCAACAAGTCTCGGATCTGCTCATTATAAACTTCTAGAACACTAACTTTTATCTCATAGTTGACCTCTCCTTTGCGTACAGTAGATAGTCGAAAAAGTTCCTCCAATGTACGATAGTTGACACCTCGGTTTCCTGGAATGCCTTCCATCGTGAATGTTTTGCCAGTACCTGTTTGTCCGTAGGCAAATATGCACACGTTGTAGCCATCCAGGACAGATACAACGACCGGAGACGTGTCTGCAAACACTTCAGCTGCACAACGGAAACGAGGATCAGCTTGTGAATATAGACTTTGCCATATACTCACGTTGATCGTCTTCGGGAGTGAACACTCGATCAAACTTGTAGAGCTTTTTCGGATTGGTGCCAGCCCGAATGACGAGTTCATTCTCTCTAGCGGAGTCAAACTCGACTAGTGACACCGACGATGCTGACGCTTCTGATGCATTCAACGGTCTGCATCTGCAAAACACCCTAACGTTCCCTGGAAGAAAACTCATGAAATCAATTATACAGATGTAGCAAACTTGCCTTTCATTTCAATCAACTTGTTGTACAAAAACTTCCGTTCTTGACTCTCGTCTAGTAGTCTTTTCTTTAACTCCTTCTGTTCATTCACTGACAAAAACGATATATTCAGCATTGAAGTAAGTCCAACTGCGCTCGGCCTTACCTAAAGCTTGAACCGCAGAAACCATGCCATGGGGATCTGGAAAGGAGCATATACAATCTCTTGCGTCCTTGGACAGGAGACTATAGAGTATTCTGAGTTCCTGGATTATCAACAAATGAATAAGTATCAGAAGACAGAGAAAGAAATGGACGCTAACCTCGACTTTCCTCTGGGCATCACTGACGGCTAGCTTCAACTTCGTCTTTTCGTTCATTTCTTTTTCCTTCAAATCTCTTAGCTCCAGCACCTGAGTTTCCACGGCATTTGCTGATAACAAAACAAAAAGCATAAAGTCTTAACTCAATCTAGATAATCGTACCGAGTGTATCGACAGTAAGAGACTTCACGGAAAGTTCATCACGTAATTTTTCAGCTTGGCGATTGGATTCTTGAACAGAAATCCAGGCCTGATGGCACTCGTTTCTGAGTTCTTCCAATCTTTGCTCGCTTTCAGTAACTGCTCCTCGACTTTTATCCCTCATCTGAAGCAATCCAAACCATCATTAATAGTTTGAGAAAAAGTAGCGCTGCATTACGAACCTGCTCACAAAACGTGAGTCTGCGAGCATTCTGCTTCTGGCAGTTTTCCAACGCAAGCTCGTAAATTGGTCGTGGCTTACGACCGGTTCGCTTAGCTGGATCAAACAAAAAAATCAACAAATTATTTACTACATTGAAGAAACGCACCAAGAGGAGGAGCTCTGTGAACGCAGATGGCGCTGATGGTGGGATTTCCAACAACGCCACGAAATGCCAAAGTAAGAACACCGCCGTTGACTGCAGCTCGCACGTTTAGCAAAATCAAGGGCCTGTTCGACCCCACCCGTCCATAGACGTCAAGATCCGAGACAACCTATACGCAAGAAGGACAAACGTAAAAAGTGAAAAGAACATGAAAAAATTCCAAAGACTCTCACCTTCTCGTCCTGAATGTAGACGTCAAAGATCCTCATCCCAGGAGGACCATTCGTGAAAATAATCTCGGCAAAGTGGATATCCACGTAGTAATCTCCACTTTCCAGTCCATCTAGGGCGTAAGTAACCTCCCCATACCTTGCTGTGCGGTATAGCGAAGGCTCCTGCGCATCAACGATATCTTCGGCAGTTCTAAGCACATCTCCACCAGAGAAAAATCGATCGTCCACGAAATCGATGCCGAAAGATGTATCTAGAATCGATGAGCCACCGGCATTTATCGCGGCCACGACCTTGTCTGGAAATAGGCATAGGCATGGCGGCAGAGTATTTCGCGATGCTTCTCGCAAGAACAAGAACATACCTGGAATGTAATTGAACGAGAGCTCGTTCCCCTCGCAGAAACTGCTAAGAATTTCCTCTCCATCTCCCAAATCCAGCTCGAAATCTCGCACCGGGCTCGAGAAAACCGTGATTTCTTCGTCATCCCTGGCCGCGACCCTGGAATCCTCTGCCGCGGACGCTTCTTCGATCATCGGATCCTGGCGAGCAGCGTCATCAGCTAGATCGCCGCCACAGCCCTCTCTGGACGCTCGACGCAAGAAATCTAACATCGCTGCCATTCCCAAAACCTAAAAGAAACAAGGGCAAAAGGGCAAATACACTAGCCGTTGGCTTTAAAATGTCCCGCCCAAATGGTCGGATTTGTTTAGTTAACTAAACCTATTTACCACGATAATCACGATTAAGCTTTTACTGGCATTCCAAGAGAGAAAGCAACACAAGAAGCCGCGATGGCGCTCGCGAATCAAAGAAACACACAGACACACATGAAAGGAAATTTCTTCACTGCGATGCGATCACTTCTTGCTCGCGGGCGGAGTGTAGGTCGCGCTGCCTTTGCCGCTGTTGTAGTACGTCGATCCATTGGGATTGGAGTAGTAGTAGGATCCATTCTGGTTGGAATAGTGGTAAGCGTTGGGATTTGGGGCCGAGGCGCCATAATCGCGAGAGCAGTAGTGATTTCCCTGGGAGTTCGTCCCAGAGCCCTTGTAGGAGTAGCCCTTCTCGCCCGATCCAGACATTCTAGCAAGCGCGCCTGCGCGAAAGGCGAGAGCACAAGGAGGAGATCGATCGAAGCGATCGAGAGATAGAACCCTACCTCGAAAACCGAAAAAGCCCACGGAAAGAATGGCACAAAACCCTCTTTGCTTGGTGATCTATAAATGCCTGCTGACGGCGGTTTTATTCCACGTGGCGGTTCGTTACTCTGCCACGTGGACGGTTGGGAATTTAGAAGAACTTCCAGTTCTTCGAGATAAATATCTCATATTTACAAACTGCTGCCTGTAAAAATTTCTTGTGCTACGCGAAGACTGGAGCGCTGGAGGAAGACGACGATGGCGTCTTGTTGTTTGATTCTTCTTTTCCCCACCAAGTAGCCAGCGTCAATCCCATCACTGCCATTATCACCACCGAGCAAGCCGGAGGAACTGCTTGAGTGTCGCCCAAAAACTGGGTGGCCAGGAGCATTGCTAGCGTCGAGCTTTGCATTCCAGTGCAAAGTGACAGTGTTCTTGACACCTTGTGATTTTGCCTGAGATACAGCACAAAAAGGAACTCGAAGTAAGGATTAACGGAACTAGAAGCGAAGAACTTTAGTCACCTCCAGAAGGGAAGTCTCGAGATGAAGTAGCCAAGACCAAAGCCAAGGGCGTGGAATACCAGCACCGGGAACAAAAGCTGGAGACCTTCCATTGATATGATCTTCGACTGGTTGAGAGCCAGAGGGCTTCCAATGCACAGCGACGTGCAAACCATGGCGACCAGTGGCATCACGGGACGTATTCTGTCCACCAGCGGCTTTGCGTAAGTGTTGAGAGTAAGTCCTGTTAGAACCGGAAGAAAGACCACCTGAAACAAGGAAAGGGTTTAAGTTACATGAAATCTCGAGGCCATAGTTTACCTGGAGAATTGATTTCGCCATGGCTACGACGTCCACTGGCACAACCGAGCCAATCAAGAACTGCGTAAGAAAAGGCGTGACGATCACAGAAGTAATCGTGCTGATGCTCGTAAGCATGATGCTGAGAGCTATGTCGCCTTCACTTAAGTAAGCCGCGTAGCTGGAGAGCTGAGCACCCGCAACACAAGCCGTGAGAATGAGACCCGCGGCAAACGAAGGAGGAACACCGAAGCCTCTCACTACCAAAAACCCGAGTATTGGCTTCATCACGTATTGAAGCACGTAGCCCATGCATAGAGGCAAAGGCCTGAATCGAAAAAAGAAAAGAAAGAACTACTCAGTGCAAAAAAGCATGGATTGTAAGCTCACCTCTGCAAAACAATCGCGAAGTCGGATATGGAAAGCTGGACGCCTATAGACAGCATGATTCCTCCAAGTGCCGGAGCATAGTGCTCTTTTCTGACCCTGAAAGCTCATCAAAGTTTATATCCAATCTCAGTGATAAAACCTTGATTTGGATGGACAGAAGAAAGCTAGATCAATCTCAAAAGTTCTCGGTGAGAAATTCTCTTACGTACCACGCAAATGTAGCTGGGTGGATGAGCGCCGCGGCAGCAGTGGCCACCACAATGTATGGCAGCATTTTGGAGAGCGACTTGGCTATGTCGATCTTCCTTCCTTGGCTGTCCCTCTTAACCTTCAAGCCAAAAGACGCCAGGGGATTCTCTTCTCTAGAAACCTTTCGGGAGCTATGATCCTTGGGAGCTTTGGAGAATACCTGGAGCTTCCCGATGCTACTCGCGCTGTTGTTCGCGCTGCTGGCTGGATGAAAATCGCCAAATTTCGAGAACATCCCGTCCTCTGCCTCGCTGTGCTCGATGCGAGAGCAATAGCGCCTCCATCGCCTTCGACCTGGAGCGGCATTCGAAATATCTATCATCCATCGCTGCGAAACCAAATTGCCTCACACATACCTCTGGGAAGGACGCTTCTCGAGCACAAAACCCTGAGAGACAAGAATGTGCCCTGCGAGACCGCGCTACTCGTCGTCAGCACGAATGCCATCTCCGGCGAGGCAAAATCGCGGCGTCAACACCGCCAGAGCTTCATTCCGGGATAAAATCCGTGAGAATCGACCGAGCGCCGCGCCCGCCCTCTTTGCCTATCTATCGCGCCTCACCGCCATAGCTAAAAGCTCACCCTATCAATTCATCCACAAAGCGGGGAACAAAGAAATTCCATTGCGAGTACGGTCGGATGCCATAAACGTACGAAAGAGAGGATATTTTACGATATTCCTAAAGAGATAGCTGTCCTTTAGGTCATTCAAATGGCGCTCTTTCTTGTTGCTAAATAGACACAGTTGAGCCACAAGGCTCGATTGGTGGTGTGGAGACCACTGTCGTGGAAGAAGCTCATTCCTACACGCTACTTTAATAGTTATATTCGAACTCGTGCATAGAATCTATACCATAGAGATTTAAACAATTGAGCCAACCATAGAGCATGGTAAAACTTCATTAACAAATATCAAATAGACAATGCCCGACGAGAACTCCGCTGCAAAGATTATACCTTGGAATTAATGAGACTAGCTCCGTGACATTCTTCATGACTTGCTAATGTAGCAGGCACTCTTCCCCAGCCTTAATTCTTTTTTTCGATTGTAATGCACACTTTGCTAGAGCTTTGTGGCCGCGTCTCTAATAAACAAGAGCTCACTAGTGTAAGCAGACAAAGAAAAACTGGGAGCTACCTTTGTTTTTCTACTGCCCGTACAAGCTTATTCCATGCGTCGTCACTGGTGCTTTTCCTCACGCTGGGAATGCTTGCTTTGGCGCTAGAGCACGCAATGCACAGGCTGCCGCTTTGACGCGTACAGGATTCTGGAAGACAGAGTTACCTCAGTACGGACTAAGAAATTTGCGAGCACAATCTTGCCTTTCCCATGATGTTAATGACAGGAGCGCCTTTGTCATCTTGCTGGTGGTAGCAACCTGTAAATTATATGAATCGACATGTTTAATAAGACAGCCATCGTACCAAGTGTCAAATCCGGGTACTCTGCAGCCAATTGGGAGAAAGGCTTCGCTATTTCTACCTGTAAACAAAGGGCATAGGAGATCGAAACAAAAGCTTGTGAAATACGTACTTTAGACAATTGTGTTTCGAGCCGTATCAAGCAAAAGGGGTGCTGGGTAGCGAGAAAGTCGCGGCTTTTGCTCAGCTCCAAAAGGCACTGGTATTGTAGCTTGAAGTCCCTAATCGTTGGACCCGACAGTACAAACACGTTTCGACATTTTATCTGAGAAGTACATGGTAAGGATAAAAACAAAAGAAGCACGTAAATCAAGAGAATTTACCACTGGGATAGAGAGCCGTTTGTGATGCAAAAGCTCAGTGATTCCTTCTGGCAATCTCGCCATCTGCTTTTAAAAATTCTTTGGGACCCAGAAAAATAAAAAGAAAACCACACTACCGCATTCTGATCCCCTGCACAGTTGTCTCCAACAAGTTGACGAAGATACTCTTCAAACTCTTCATCAGGAGCCTGATTTCTAAAAATAAGATCAAGTTCACGTATACATTCTAAACTTACCAATCGAACTCCAAAAGCTTTTGCCACGCCGGCCAGGGTTACATCACAATGCAAAGGTCCAACACCTCCACAAACTAAGACCTGTGAGTTTCAATGTTACTCCTGTACACAAATAAAATATTGGAGCTTACAATATCGCTCGCACTTGATCTCTGTTCGATTTCCTCGGCAACTGCGTCAACCTGCCTCGAAAAATAGCTTAGCTCACCTCTACATGCTAAAACACGGGAACTACTTACATCATTTGGAACGACTGCACGACGCGTAACAGTCCAGCCTAGAGAGAAAAGCTCTTTGCTTAAGAATGTACCCATCTGGTCGTCCATATCTCCTCTCCTGTAATACTGAAGTTAAACCAGCACAAAGCTCCAGGAGGACAAACTTACAAGAGCTCATCACCGACTGACAAGACAGATGCAGCATATAAAGTATCAACGTTGGCCTGAGTATCCGTATTTTCAACACCATTTGCAACACCCGGGCCCTGATAGTCCTTTCTCGGTTGCTTTCTCAACCGTCCCGCCCTTTCAAGCCTTCCATCGCGCAATAAATAAGCTGGCTTGTAAGCCTTCTTTCTCGACAATCCTAACTCAGGGCAATCTTCTTCCACCGAAGAATCGATATACAATGCTTCATTCGGAACGGTATCATGTACGCTTCCAATAGATGTGTACCTGGTATAACCACGAACTATATTAACCAGAGTCAGATGAAGATTCGTTCGATGAAAGTGCCCTCACCCTTGATCATATAATTTACAGTAAGGAACTTTGCAAGCCAGTAAAAATGCCCATACGTCTCTGGAAAGTACAAACAGTGGTGGCATTTCGTGTGAGTCTAAAAATCGTACCTGTAAGACCAATCTAGGATTGGATTCACGCGCATGAACGGCGGCCAGCCAGTAGAACTTGGTGAGAACTGCTCTTGCCCCACCTACACAAAATAAACAAACGAAACGTTTTGCATCAATCAGTCGAGATACCACGAAACATACTGCATTCGGATCGCCAATTCTCGTGCCTAAGAATATAGCCTTAATAGGCTTGTTTTTTAATAGAGCTTCCAAACCTGACTTGAAGTCTTGCCTTAAAACTTCAAGCTCTAAGTTATATCTGGAAACAAATGCAAGGTTAAACACAAAGTTAGAAGCAAGAGAAAAAAAATAAAGGAAAATCGCGTACTCTTGTGCTGTCTCGTATGTGAAGGAATCAATCTCTGGGAAAGCATCGGGACCTTCGAAATAAATCGTTCGAATCCGATCTTCAGCATCTGCCGGCAGTGACAATTTAGACTTCAAAGCTGCATAGCCAGCTCTTAAAAGATGAAGAAGAACCTAAACCAGACAGAGAAAGATATAAGATTGACCTCTTATCAGCTCTTTTGGTATTTGTATCTCTATCTCAAGAATCTAACGCTAGAAAATACAAACGAATTCCACACAATCCCACCATACCGTAGAGTCTTTTCCCCCATTGAAGCTAAATGCGACCTCATCCGGCCTGGAAAAACCAAAATCCCAGCTCAAAACCCCTCAACCTCTCCAAAATCAGCCGAAGCACCTGTAGAGCGCCAGCGTTCGATCGATCACAAACATCGCGTGCTTGTACTTGGCCTGGAGCCTCCGATCGCAGCTCGCGTCCACAGCCCGGCAAATCTCCATCCCTGTAGCTCCCAAGAGCCCTAAACAGGAGAACCCATAATAAACACAAGGGTGTTTTTTTGGAGCAGAGAATATTCTCATAGACGTGATCGACGATTCGCATATCCCTGGGTGCGCCTACAATATTCCCCGCGTCAACAGGCTCGGCTTCGCAGACCTGAATTTAAACGCCCGCCGGGGCTATACCGTAGCTCGAGCCTGAGGCTCGGTAGCCCAGGCCTGGGCCCTTGTTTGCTGGAGTTCTTTCTTCCCTTCCTCCATTCTGCTGAAAGCGCTTGGCTATGGCGTGCGCTTTCTCGACTCGACACCAGGGTTTCTCGTCGCGACGGGGGACTCGAGCTAGCGCGTGGGTTGTTGGAGGGCTGGATCGTCTTCGGCGCCGCGAGAGCTCGCTGTTGACTCAAGAATCGCGGGGAGGGATGAAATTTCCAGGTTCTGCTCGAGCATTGCTTCTTGCCTAGGTGATCCGGCGGTCCTAGATCAGCAGTAGGAGTGGTAATCGTCTATATTTCGTGCGCGTCGATGATGCTGCAACCCAAGAACTCGCCGTCGAGCGTTGTGGCGGCAGCGCCGGTAGCTCCACAGGTCCCCAGCAGCCCAGCGGCAGCGGGGGATTTGGTTTGCTTCTCCACACCTCCTCCAGCGGCGGCGGTGCCATCAACGCCAGCAGCGGCACTAGCAAACAATGTAGCAAGCACTCCAGCGGCATCCAGCGGCAACGTCGCGTCCGTCAAGCAGAGGCTCCGATGGACTCCCGAGCTCCATGACCGCTTCATGGAAGCCGTGAACCAGCTTGGTGGCTCTGACAGTGAGTACTAGGACCACAGTCCATTTCTTTCTTTGATTCTTTCACTTCTATGAGCTAATGTTCTATTGTTTGTTTGTTTTTTTTTTCTTGCAGAGGCTACTCCCAAAGGTGTTCTTGGGCTGATGGGCGTTCAAGGACTCACAATTTACCACATCAAAAGTCATTTACAGGCAAGGATCTTAAATTTGTTGTTGCCAGTTCTGATGGAGACGTGATTGTTTCTATAGAAGTTTCGGCTCGCCAAGTATCTTCCTGACACTTTGGGCGATGGTAAGCTTCTACGAGTCCTGTCGCCAGAGCTTTGTCTTTACGTTCTTTTTCTTTCTTCTGTGTCACAGGCGAACTCGAGAAAGGGAGGGACCTCGAGGCAGATTCACGGTACTCTCCTAAAGTTTTTTCCATTCTTTGCTTGTCTAGTACTATATATTTGTTTTTCCCCGTCCAGTGGCAGGCAACTTAGCGAGGCATTGCGAATGCAAATGGAAGTTCAAAAGCGACTGCATGAACAGCTCGAGGTAATCAAACGGTTGACGTCGTTGTGGATCTTTCTCAAAACATGTTCTTTTACTTCTTGACAGGTGCAAAGACACTTGCAGCTTCGGATCGAGGCACAGGGGAAATACCTGCAAAGGATACTCGAGGAGCAGCAGAAGATGAACAAGCTCTTGCGTGGCGACGATGGCCTCCCCCTCTCGCCGATCAAACTAGACGCGGATCCAGACCCGGAGCCAGACCCCGCGATCGACCTCACGGACGACAGTGCGGAGGACGAGGAGCACAAGCCAACAACAGCGGATGTAATTCTAGTCGACGAGGAGAAGCTAGCAGGAGGATCATTGGCAGCAGCAGCGGTAGACAGTGGAGAAGAACCTCATGCAAAGAGGAAGAAGGTGGACGATCTTCAACACTCGCAGCACAAGGACAATGGCGCGGAGGGCGATGCGAAGGAGAATGGCCGCTGACGAGATAAGCTTCTCTTCCATCTTTTTTTTTTCCTTCTCTCGGGCTCCACACAAAACACTGACTCTACTTACAGCGATTGAATTTTAACTCTTAAAAGACACAGCGTTGCTAGCAGCAAAAAGTGTACCACTACATAGAATATATATCGAAAAGGAGAGATTGACAATGTATGAGTTGCTCCTCGCGATTGTTCTCCACGACATAAACGCTTCGTGGAGCAAGCTAGTGCTGTTGCTTATGCTGCCTAGTGCAGATGGACAGTAGCTTCACCAGTGTTCACGTTCTTGATAGCAGTTGTAATCTCTAGCAACAAGCAGGTTTCTTAAATGATTTTTAAGGTGGATTTGTAAAGATTCAAATGCTTTTTGATTTTGTTTATCCTTATCCTTTTATCCTCGCAAAATTGTTTAATAATTTAAAGAAACAGTAGGATCAGAACCTAATTTAATATAAAAGCTTGTTGTGATAAAAAAAATCTTAATTAACTATTACAAAATAGCTGTATCATAAATTTGATTATATTCACAATTTTAAATATTAATTGTTAAATTTCTTATGTTTTTTAGTGTTATTTAGAGTGATACTACTAAAACTTATAAATTATAGTATTAGTTTTTATTGGAGATGCTTGTGCAAATTTGCAATTATACAAAATTAATAATAGTAACAATTATAAAAGTTCAATTATCCCAAAAAGTTGAGGCATATAAATATTTGCAAATCTTTATAAAATAAAAATTTTAAGGCCTACCATTGTGAGACACAAAATCCCTAGGCCCCAAAGTGGAGCCGGAAGGGCGCCACATGGTAGTGGCCGAAGCGAGAGCCAAACGAGCGTAAAACGTTTGGACCAAAAGCTCCGACTTGAAAAGTCAAGAGCGGGAGTGGAACTCCCAACAAAGTGCTCGAGGAACGAGCACGAAGCGAGCAAAAGGCAAGGCTCCAAAAAGAGACCCAAAAGGACCAACACATGACACGTGGGAGTGTCCGAGATGGACTCGAGATGGAGTCCGAGATGGAGTCCGAGATGGACCCGAGATGGAGTCCGAGATGGAGTCCGAGATGGACCCGAGATGGAGTCCGAGATGGAGTCCGAGGTGGAGTCCGAGGTGGACCCGAGATGGACCCGAAATGGAGTCCGAGATGGAGTCCGAGATGGACCCGAGATGGAGTCTGAGATGGAGTCCGAGATGGACCCGAGATGGACCCAAGATGGAGTCCGAGATGGAGTCCGAGATGGAGTCCGAGATGGAGTCCGAGATGGAGTCCGAAGTCGAGACCGAGACCGGAACCGAGACCGGGACCGAGACCGAGACCGAGACCGAGATTGGGACCGAGACCGAGACCGAGACCGAGGCCGAGGCCAAGACCGAGCCCGAGCCCGAGTCCGAGTCCAAATCCGAGTCCGAGTCCGAGTCCGAGTCCGAGTCCGGAGCCTGAGAGGGTGAAAGCCCAAAGCGTTCGTCTCCCAGACCCTGGGGGGTTTGGTGAGCTCCAAAAGTATAGTAGGGGGAGGACTGCAGTGGAGCCAGTTTGGCCAGGAAAGGCTAGTTTGGCCCAGGAAGGCCAGACCCAGTGTTGGGTGATGAACTGACCACTGGGAAGTCCAAGACTATAGTGAATACGGACCGACAAGCGGGGTAGCTTGGTGAAGTGTTCAAGAGCCGGCTCTAGTTCCCCCGGGAGATCGACTGGCCGATGCTCCCAGTCCAAGTGTGGGTGGCACTACCTACTTGGATACCAAGCGTGGCTCAATAGAACCTCGCTCTAAGCCCATGGCTAGAGCACCTAAAGGCGATAGGTGGGGAGAGTACCCAGGTGGCTCGCGTAAGGCCACGGTGTTCCGAAATGTTGTCCCAAAGGCCCAGACTGTGGAAAGGAAGAGGAGCAGTCCTCTGGGGTAGTGACCAAGGACACAGTCATGTGGTGAGGAAGTCCCAGAGGACCGTGGGACTTAGTGGTCGGGCCTGTGGGCCTCGATCCAGTGGCAGTGTTGGCAAACACGGCCAAGGGCAGAAAGGGACTTGGTAGGAACTGACAAAGGGACTTTGGGGAAGGCAACTCCCCAGGTCTGTGGGCATCCTAAGGATGCTAAGGAGTGGATCTAGGATGACCACTCGTGGACACATGGCCCAGTCTTGGAGAGACGAGGTGGTGATGCAAGTGGTGTTGAACCACTAGTGCAGCAAAGGTGAATGGGCATGGCCTTAGCGTAACGGGCCGAGATGTCAGTGGTACCTTTGGGTGTCGGTCTCAGGACCGGACACGTGGAGCACTTGGACCAGGTGCAAGTGTGGAGTGGCATGGATGCCATTCTTGGGGCTAGCAAGTCCCAAGTCCTGAATTGGACTGATGGAGGTTGTGAATGAGACTCCTCCAAGTGGTCGGAGGTGTGGTTAAGTGACTAAAGTAGAATGGAAAATTTAGTCGCTTACAATTTGGTATCAGAGCTGTTCCTTAGTCCGACTTTTATTGGTGCTCAAGTATATCCCCACTAGTGTTGGCATCGGAAGGTCCGAGGAGTGGGCCTATTCTTGAGGAGTAGCAAGTCGGGAAGACATGGCTCTCCATTACAGTTCATGTGTGAACTTGTAGACAAGGTGGTGGATAGAAAAGGGCCAATAATGGAACGACTTTGGGATCTTGGGAACAGTGCAAGGTTTTCCTCATTGAGTTGAGGATGTGATCCGGATGAGCATTTGTCTCAGCAAATTGGCTTAGGTTGTTGTGGTAAACAACTAAAGTTAGGATCACGGGAAAGATAGAGACTCCTTTACAATAAAGGAGTCACAAGATTATCCTCATATAGTTGAGGTTGGTGCTCATGAATGTGAGACCAAAGGTAATGACCGTGGAAGGTCAAATACGGAAGAGGACTCAAGTCCTTGAAATGGTAGCCGGGGCTACCTCTAATAAATGCTGGAACAACCCAAGGAGTTGGGGGTGTATTAAGTGGATGAGTTGGTATTCTCATCACATGGACAAGCAGTCCTAAGGGGCAAAGGTTGCCCCCAGAGAACAAAATCAAGTGTCGGAGTAACACTTGTGAAAATAGTCCTTTTGAGTAGGACCGGAATGCAAGAAGTGTATTCCAGTGAGCTAGTGCCTCACAAGTAGGACCTTACGGGTTGGTGGATTAACCAAGTCCAAAACTGCTAGACGACTCAAGTAGAGTCAAGGGATGGTCCTAAAAGGACTGATAGAAGCATTTGGACTGAGGTGCGTTGTACCCCACAAAGGATGGGGGGGGATCATAGGA